TGAGTTAAATAAAATCTCTGGCAACTGCTCATTTTATATTTGTAAGACAGTCATGACTTCACCACCACAGGTCCTTTAACACCCTCTTCAAAAGCAGGGCTCCTGCTATAGTCATGTCTGAAACCTCAAGGCAAGGCAGAAAGGGGTGGATATTTGGTGAATTTTAATACAATTGATATGTAGAAAATGATGGGGGAAGGAACCAAAGTGGTAAGTAGTTTTTTCCTACCTTTTTGTGTGCTCAGGGAGATCCAACCTTGAATTTGACAACAGTGATAGGCTCTCAGCCAGGCCATAAACATGGAATATGAAATTTAAGTGGGCCACAGTGCTTTTACTTATTGTTGTACACAGGAACAACAGGAGGGTGTTCCATGTTTGAACAGAAAGAAAGTGAAAAAAATAAAAATAAAAAGACATCATATGAAACTTTTCTTCCCAAAGAAATGAGGACGTGGACATACAATGAATGGCATGTCTATACAACTCTCAGAGATTTCTGGCCTTGATGACGGCTGGACATTGCTTACAGAGTACAGTCATGTGTGGATCTAAGTAGATTTGAAATTCCAGCATGGTCAACACATTGCTGCTACCACATTCCAAAAATTCCACTGGGTGTATCTGCTATGGTTTGAATATCCCTTCCAAAACTTGTGGAGAAACTTAATTGCCTTGTGATAGTATTAAGAGATGGGACCCTCATGAATGTATCATGCCACTATCATAGTAGTGTGCTCCTGGTGAAAGGACAAGTAAGTCCTCATCCTCTATCTCGTGCGCTCGCTTGTCCTTCCTCCTTTGACCATGGGGGGTACTGTGGCATAAATGCCCTCCCCAGAAGCAGGTGCTATGCTCTTTAATTTTCCATCCTCCAGAACCATGAACCAAACAAACTTTTATTGTTTATAAATGATCCAGATATAAGTATTTTATTATAGCACTGGAAAACTAAGACAATTCTCAAATGAGTCTCCATTTCTGGCTGCTCAATGAACTACGCATCAATTAACCAATCAGATGGCATAAAAGGATATATTTATAAGTGGCTAATGCTCCTCTATGTCCCCAACACACACACACACACACACACAAACACACAATCTCCCCTATTATTATTGTCTGTAAAAATGAGAGAATTAAGGGGGCAATATGAAAATGTACTGGTTATTTCTGCTTCAGGGCCAAGCAAAATGTTTCTAAATGAAATGGCCTATCTTGCCTCTATGAAGGTCAATAACAATGAAGCAAGTGATTCTCAAACAGGCTCCTGTGCTTCATATTCCTCTTGCTTGAAGAAGGAGTTCTAGCTTTTAGCTAATGGAACGCCCATTTGGCTCATAGTATTATTGATTTTTATTTTCATGGAACCATAAATATTGACAACCATCTCAGTAAAATGCCAGTACCTCCCTACCTACCTACCTCCCGCTGGCAGGCTGATCCTTGGGCCACTCTGTGTGTAAATCTCAGTCCTCTGGAGATGATGAGTAGGATCCCAGGAGGACTGAATTCTGGATGACACACAGGGAATCCTAAGGGCACCGTGTGCAGAGTCTTCCTACAATTTTACCTGACACAGATGGAAACTCTTCATTTCAACACATAATGAAAGATTATGTGCAGCTTTCCAAAGGGGAAAAAGTACACAAAAACTTTTTAATGTTCTTGCCCAGAGAAATCCCCCGTGAATTAGGATATAATCCTTCCGCACGGTCTAATCAATCTTTTCCTTGCACAGCCCAAACACAGGGCTCCTCCAGGGCTGGATGGTCTGGGCTAGACACACAGAAATTCATTATCTCATCTGCCTGGTGCCACTGTTTCCAATAAAGTGTAATTATGGTGTATCGAGCTCCTTCTCACTTTCTCAAAGCCACGCCATAAACTTTGGGTCCGTGTGCGGTTACTTCCCAGTCAGTCTTCATTAGGTTGAATTGTCTCCGAACAATGTCTATTTAATCAGCAGGGTGCCTGCTGATTTTCTTTTTTAGAATTCATATTACTGTAATAGACGCTGGGTGACTTCGTGCCTTAGACACTGTACAATTACAACCCAGTGTTTCTCCTGGCTTCGAAGGCCCAGCAGCCAGTAAATGGGGGTGACCTGGTCCCAGAAGATGCTCCCTTTCTGAGCCCTGCACTGCCCCTCTGAGTAAGCTATCTACCTGGGGAGAATACCCTGCCTTTGCCAACTTATAAAAGTATACTATTGTCATAACATAACAATCCCACTACGGTAAGTGGCAAGTTCAGAGTGATTTGTTATTGACTCACCTCTATAAGGCAGGGGCTTGTGTAGTAGAATGCTCAGCAAATACTTCCTGAGTGACAGGAGAGAGAGCTGAGTAGACACACATCCTTCCCTTCGTTTTCTGACACACTGAGCAGCACTAGTGGCCAGAAAAGCAGTATACCGACACATCAAAGAGATGGAAAAGAGAGAAAGGAATTCATTTCTGAACACCTACTGTGTGTAGTTCTGGCACCATCAGGGCATGGAGAGCCTTGTGAGCCATAAGAAAGAACTGGCTTATACAGGTTTTGCTGAATGAAGCTGATCTTCAAAAAAAGAAAGTTGTAAGAATAAATAAGTATGATGTAAAATGGGAGAAAATGTCTGTAATAAACCTAAGATAGCAAGATTTCTCAGGGGAGGAAAAAAATCAAATCCAATTAGGTATTTTCAGATTGCTTTTTCACTGCTTTTCTGACACAGGTTTCCGTACCTTACGTCTTGACTGCATTTTATAGCCCCACATCAGTGAAATCATCTTCAGGGAAACAGTTTCCTTGGCTCCTCTTGTCTGGCTTTGCAGTGTTATAAGGAGCATGGAGTGGATTTCCTCTCTGAGGCAGCCAATTTCCTAAGCAATTAAATGCTGTTTATATTCCAAACTCTGTGCTTGGGTTGAAATTGTCAAGCCTGATATTACCTGACTCTTGCCTAAGATGTATTCTTAGCTAGTTCATTCTACTGTAACAGCCATCTATTAAAATTTCCAATCTGTTCTCTCCTCAAGGGATCATACAGTACTTGGCAAAGGTACAGCTTCTGAATTTTGCAAATTATTCTCATCTATATAAATATATATTTTTTAAATGGCAAGGCTTGCAAATTACTCTACCAAATTGACATCCCAATCTGCTATCCTCTAAAAGGAGAGGCAAATGCCATGTACCTCATACATGCATAGATGTCTCTGGGCTGGTTTCTTAAAAATAACATAATGTAGATGCCAAACTTTCATGAAATTCCTCCAGGAGGTTGCAGAACCAAGGTACTAGTATTTGTCACTTCTAGGGATGGATGTGAATAAATATAATTTAGTCCATGTAGATCAGGAGTTGAGACCACATAAAGCACTGAATATTAAAGGAGAAATTATTTGTTCCAATGAACATTCCTGGCTGAGAATACTGCTCTTTCTCATTTTGGATACTCCTTGTGGTTTCTAAGCTGACTGGAGAAGTGAGAGAGAGGTCTGTATTTACACCATGTGTGACTTTTATTGAAGGGGCAGCCACTGCCTATGTATTTATGCCCATCTGATAGGTCTCTAGAGAGCAACAAAATATGCACCTAAAGTGTCAGTAAGAAGTGCTCCATGGTTACACAGGGGCACTGCAGTGGCAACTGAGGCTGATTAGGAATTCCCTAGCCGGACAGGGGGTTGAGGGCTAGAAGCACAGGCCTTTTATTTTAAAGCATAGAATGTCATTTTTTTTCTTTCTAAAATAGGTGTCAGGCAGCTTTTCATATATTTTCTTTGGTGAAAACATACCATCCATTTAAGCCACTGCCAGAAACACATCAGCTAGGCTCTGAAACAGTTAGGACTGGCCACACCCCTCCTCTCACCTGGAATTTTTTCCTCTCAAATCCAGCAATAGCCTTTCAGGCTCCAGACTGCTTTTCTAGCTTCACCTTTTTCTATAAATGCAGCACCTGGGCCACATTCCTCCCTGCTTCCCAAGTGTCTTTATTTCTAGGCTCCAAACTCTGGATAGAATGCCTTTATGTGCCCCCGACTTCCCTTATAATCTTGGAAGAAAATCTTGTTTATTCTGCTAAGGTCCAATTCTACCTGCTCTGTGAAGACCTTCTCGACACCTTCATCAACTTTGTTGCATTTGCCTGATTTCCCAAAGCATATTGCACAGCCTTGGGCTGGTGGTTATCCATGTGCTTCATTCCACAGTTTTTCATTTCCCTGTGGACACTTGCCTAGGGCAACTGTGACCTATGCTAGTCCTGACAGCACCCAATGACCCAAAGATGGTCTGTCCATTGTTTGCCTATAAAATATCCAGATGTTGCTCAGCTCTCACAACTTTGGTCAAAAACAGAACTGAATTCGCACACACTTCATCCTAATGTCAAACTCTAGCCTCTTTCCAATCATTATGATGTTCAGTGTCCTTAAACCCAGAGGAAGCCTCAGCAAACACTGGAGGAAATGAAATAGCTCTCTTCTGCTGCTGCTCATCTGTAGGCGTTCAGAGTGTTCCTTCATCTCCAACTCTGAAGACGGGCCTCCATGAAATACAGAGATCCTCCTCTATCCTGCAATGGATCCTACCTAGCACAGTGTCTGACATGGCTCAAGAAGTTACGAGTAGAGTCTTGTGGATGCAAACTCCACAAAGCTCTGGGAATACTAGGAACTGCCAAACCATAGGTGAAGCTACTTCCCCAGGCTCACTCAACACCAGGCCAGAGGACAAGAGCCTGCTCTTGGGTTGGCCGCTGTCCTCTGTTCTGCCCCATCATTCAGTGAGTTTGGTCATATGACAGTACACAGGCACTGATGGTGAGAAGGACAGGGCTCACTCCCCAGCAGGACGACGAGGCCTAGGTATCAACACTTTGGCTCACTTGAAACCAGCAGGAAAGGGGCAACAGGAACACACAGGGCTCCGGCATTTGAGGATCACTGCTTTCTCTTTCAGTAGTGACTGTGGTGCAGGAAGAAAAACCAGCACACGTGGCTTCCTACCTTTCAGCTTCTCTGCCAGTAGCGCTGCTTCATGCTCCGAGTAGTGCATTATGGCTGGTGGCGAGGGCGGCCGGAGCCGGTCCTCCTCCAGCTTGCGACGATGCCGCTCCTCACGGGCTCTCATCCTCTGCTTGCATTCCCACTCATAGAAGTCGTCTCTGGCCTGGGCAAAGTCTACGTGAAGGCGGCCTGAATCCTTTTTGTCTGTGCTAGACCCTAATCGCATCCGGTAACCTGAAACCAGGGGAAAGTCTGGTCATATCAGGGTCACCATGGACTCACTTCTGCTCCAGGCCCTCACTGGGGCTAGGCAAACCACTTAACTCCGTTGCCCTCAGGACAGGACATCTCCCCCAAAGAGGTAGGAAAGCACTTCTCCTCCCCAGAGAGACCCTGAAGCCCTACTAAATTAATTAAGCCTGTTAGGGTATGAGAATAAAGATAACTCTGGGAGGTTTCTTAGAGGATGTCTTAACCATGTTCTAACCCAGTGTCACCAACAGAGGATGATCTTAAGAAGCAGCGGTCAAATTGTGGTAATTCCTTCTTCCCTCTGGCTTCCAGGAAGCTCAGAAACAAATTCGGTATGTAGTATATTTTTTATTCCTGCCCTTTTATGGCCTTGATGTTTTTGTTTCCAATTTACTATAACTTTATTGCATAAGTACTCAAATTCTTCATAGAAGAGGGGTGGGAGGTATGAGTAAATAAAGAGCATCTATGATATTTAAAAAGATCTCCAAAGTAAATTCCAGAACACCTCACTTAGGCTGTTGCTTCATTCCCCTAGAAAATACGGCTGCTCAGTTTTCTCTCAGCAGCTGCAAAAGCCACAATTACCAAGGCAATTTTGCAATGCTGTTTTATTTCCACTTATCCTCTGGGGCATGCAGGGGAATATTTTACCTTCAATCAAGAGGCCTCAATGCTGCCTCGCTTGCAGCCCTGCAGCACCCTCATCTTGCATGCAGCATCATACAAATTGTCCATACAGTCTTTAAAGGCCACGGGAGCCCTATGCAAGAGCCCAGAGCTGGGCCAGAAAAAAAAAATGGGCCTGGAAATCTTTGGGGGATTTACTGAGAGCTACCAAACTTATAAAGATTATGAGCAAAAACTAGATCTGAGAAATCAACACAGGACTGAAACCAGCCAGCCAGCCCAACTTCAAATGAAGAAGAGTTGACTTTGAGGTTGTTCTTCAGTTTGGGCTACTCAGATTTTCAGAACATAAATTCAGGTCCCAGCAGGAACACGACTGCCAGGGGCTGCCAGAGGAGAGAGCAAAATAAGCACTTTTGCTGTGCAGGGGCTTTGCAAATAAGATACGACTACAGAATGCTAGGCTGTGCTATGCTGGTATTCAAGATCTCATGGTAGGTTTCAATGGATTACTGTAGCATTTTGGGTTAAAATACAGCTGAAAATCCCTGTAGAGGGTGGCTTCCTCCTAGGTAGGGCACTTCATATCTTTCAAAAGTTATAAATAAGATACAGATCTCACATCTGATGCCTGCATGCCACTGAACTTTTCTCCCTCCTAGGTTTCCAAAGTGTTATCTAAAAATGGGAAGACATCACAATACCAATCAAAAATGCAAACAGCCTACTGTTCCCAGATGAGCAGAGTTAATGCTAGAGTAAAATGTGTCTTGGTTGTGGGCCATGGAAAGTTAACAAGTCAGCAGGCCATGGTGATACATACATAACAGCTGAGCTGACTAGACTGCTTGGGACTGGCCAGCTGCTCCAACTGGCCTAGCAACTTTCCCTCGTTTTATGTACAGAGAAATGACTTGTCTCATGCTTCTGGTTCCAACATCGTCTCTTTCACCAAAACATCGTCTCTTTCTCCAAAACATCATCATTAAGGCCTTAAAAGAGACCCTGATGAGGATGAGACTAAAATTAGCCTGGCCCTCAAATGCAAACATGGGTCTAAAATTAGATAGGCCTTCCAGCTGGGCTGGGCTTGCAGGAGCTCAGATGCAGGGTTTGGGGTATAGCCTACCTGCCTTCCTACCCCTGCAATTAGCCAGCCTTTCAGATCATCCTGGCTCTGATGTTGCAGCCTCCATAGGGCAGCAGGCTGGAGACCTCTACACCCAGGCAGGGAGGCTGCAGCTGAGACCTGTGCTGGTGCTTCATCCTGCGGCAAAGGGGTGGACCAAGGAGCCATGAGGGGCTTGCTGAGATAGTAAAAGCAAGGACCAAAGACTAAGTAAAGGAATACCTTTTGGATGCCTAAATCTGAGACTGTTCATCTTTGTTAGTGTCCTTATGAGGCTCTGATTAGGTCTAAGTACTGGGTTGGGTCTAAACTAGTGTTGTAAAAGACCTATGATCTACTCAAACCCTTTCATTGAATCAGGAGGGATCAAGTAGTACTATTATTGATAGAGCCGTCATTAGAACCCAAGTCCCTAGGGCAGAGTTTGCTGAGAAATAAGAAGCAGTTCTTTATCCTGATCAGCATACTTCTGCTTAAAATAGCCATGTACTGAATGGTTCCTATCACAGGTACCTGCTAAACACTTAACATCATTTGATTTAGTCTTTGCAGTCTTGGTTGGTAAACCCTAAGAATCTCTACTGTGCAGATGAGGAAGTGGAAGCTGGAAGAGAGGTCATCCAGATCGGGGTATGTGAAACCCAGTGCCCTACCCTCTCCAGAATCCCTGGTGGCCTAGTAGCTGTGAGTGAGTTGCCAAATGTCTTTCTTCCAGGTTTGTCTTCCATCTCCATTGTGGAATGCCTTCAGACTTCATTTTTCACTTTCTAAGGATTCATTGGAATAAAGGTTAAAAAGTTCCCTGTGTCATTATCTGGTTCAGGAAAATCTCTGGGGCACTGAGAAAACCTCAAGGCTTCTGGGATTTGTACAGAATGTCCTGGCAATGAAGGCTGATTGTAGAAATTAAGTAAAATCTCCCCATAATATCACATGGTTTCCCCCTCCTGTTGTTTTCCCACCTTCCCCCATTAGCTTTGCATTAGGAATAGAGAGGTGGTATGCAGCGTGGCCGACTGGAAAACGGCATTGGAGGGTTCGAGGGAAAGGTGATCAAGTTGAACCTAAAAAATAAGTCCTCTGTAAGCCACATATTAATAATAGTCCCATTGTTCTTAGATTTGGCAAAAGCCTGTTGACAGACTCCATAACACTTACTTTAACACCCACACAGTGGAAGGCAACATTAGGCTTCATTTCAACGTCTGTAAAAATCTCTTATAAAAATTGCCACCAAAGACTAGTTAGTCTTTTATATGTATATTTTTAGTTGTTGATGGATTTTTTTATGCTTTTTAAAAATTTTATTTATTTATATGCAGTGCCAAGAATGGAACCCAGTGTCTCACACGTGCCAGGCTAGGCCAGCGTTCTATCACTGATCTACAACCCCAGTCCCAGGAGGTTAGTCTTAAGGAACCAGCAAGTGGGCATGATATTGAGCTTTATTATCATGCCCCTAAAACACTTTCCTGAAAGGAACTGATCTTGCTTTGGTGCCCTGGTGTCAAAAAAGTGAATTCACTTCTAAAAAAACTAAAATTATTCTGAGAGTACTTTACTCCCCCAGTGGATTTACATCCAATAATAATAATGGTCCTCCATACTCATAATATTGCTTTTCATCTAATAAGTGCTTGAGAGCATTAATTAGAAACTCGATGGAATTCCTTAAGACTGGAGGGTGGGAAATCATTCCTGCAGTGAGGTACATTCACAGGCTTAACAGAGAGCTTCTGGGAGTCAAGGAAAAAGGCAGAATTCCTCCTTCGGTAGCCCCAAAGTATTTGGGCTTTATTGTGCATTAAGGCAAAAGGGAATAAGCTCATATTAACATCACAAAACATGACAAAATGCCTAGAAAACCCCTTATGTAATGCAAAGTACCAGAAAGGTAAATGGCTTTATCAACCATGAATTCCTCTGCAAAGCGAATGTGACAAAAATTCTTCTTGCTTTTTCGGATGGCTGTAATATCACCGCACTGCTCAAAGACTTCTTGAATAATTTCCTCAGTAGCATTTTCTGGTAATCCTCCGACAAACACAGTCTTACACCCCGGAGGTCGTTCTCTTGTGGAAGGAGGTGGGAGATCTAATATCACAACAAAATAGAAAGTTTTGTCTTATTGATTGGCTCTCTTTTCCTGGCTTCCCTGGCAAAGAAAGGTAAAGGTTGCCCCAGTTATTCTGTCCAGGCTGAGTAAAGGTCAACTTCTGTCCCAAGTTACATTTTTCCTGGGCTGTCTTGTTTTAGGTTCCTCTCCCCTCCTCCTACCAATCTTTACTTGCTGTGTTCATTTCTACATAGAGGGACTGTGCTTGTCCATGAACAAAGATAACGCACATGTTAGCATAATTTCATTTCTTCTTTATAACACAGAGGCCCAGAAAGGGGCGGGGGAACATTCACAAAGTACAAAACATGATGAAATAACAACACGATGAGAAACCTCAGCTTGTTATCTGCTTTGTCTCGTTGCTAGGTAAAGGAGAGAAAAGGCTGAACACAGGAAGCACAACCAGGGAAGCACACACAATACTTACTTGGCCGTGAAACATCATGCCTGAAAAAAATACTTTGTTATTATTCACATTTAAATGAGCAAACTATTAAATTTGGGGGAGGCTGTATAAAAAGATAAAATGTACACTGTCACACATTTTACCTAGTTTATATGTAGATTACTAAAGCAATCTCCTGAAAAGTCCACTTAAAAAAGGAAACACTGATTAATATGAATAAAAAAAATCCTAGCTATTTAAGTCCATAAACTTAGTATCTGAGGCTAAATTAAAAAAAAAAATTCCCAGTCTATTTACTCCATCAAATGTATGGATTCCTTTGAGCAAATGCAATCTGGTCCAGAAATTCTGAGATGCAGGCTCCAGCCCCTGCCCCCAAATTGCTAACTGCCAAATTAATTCAAATTTCCATCTAGCAAAACACATTTTGGAGTTTTTCTCCTACATTTGTGAAGATAGATGGAAGTGCTTATATATTTCACATTATGTTTTCCAGGAAATGCTAGGCTTCACTGCATGCAAAAAGATTCTTAATGCTACAGATAAATCCCCAAATCCCGGGTACTGGCTCTGTAGTGTCATGTCAGCCCCTAGACAGACACACAGACATGTCCTTGTATATCTATTCCAATCTAGAGACAAAAGTCTTCTTAAAAAGGCTCCTGGTTTTATACATGCATGTGTGAGTCATATATGAAAATTAATGCAATAATATTTCAGATTTAAAAAAAGAAATTTAAAATGATGAACAAATATTTCCCATAGGTGTTACTTACTTGGATTTTGAGGGAAAAGAGTACAACTTTTGCAGTGGATTATTTCTTTGACAACTGCCACTTCTGTTGGTGGTGGGGGTGGTACTAGACCCAGGCCTGGTATCATTGGGTTAATGGGGGTTATTCCAGTCATCATGTTGAGGCTTGGATCAAAGCCTGGGACACAGATTGAATCTGTAAAGCACACAAGATAACATTTTGGTGGCAGAATCTTAAATCCATTTTCAAGACTGTTTTTGTTAGTTTCCTGCAAAGAAACTTATACTTTTTGTTTTTCAGGAATTTCTCATGGCATAGATGCAGCAATATAGAAAGCTATTTCAAAAGGTAAACAGAGAAAGAAAAAAAGATGAACCCGAAACTACACGAAAAGGAAATTATATTACTTAAAATATTAACATGGCAGAACAGAACACAGCCTATTAAAGTGTAAAACCATGCACCATGAAGCTTCACTATTACTGTGAATCTGTTTTCTGTTTCTTAACATCAGTGTACTGTTTATACAGCCTTATGACCCAGAATGTGGGAAGAATATCATTTAACATTGAAGTGCCCTGTGAATCTAATTGTCAGCTAGTTTTATCAAAAGATTCTTCCTGCCCAACTGACCTAGATTTGGGAAAGTTCAATTTACATGTGCAGACTTTATAATGATCACTCAGCTCCCACCTAACCCAGCTCTCCTGAGGGAAGGTGCAGGGGTAGAGGTTGGGCAAAGAATGATTATAACTACTATGGCTGGGTTACATACATACAGGAAAAAATTAGCTATATACATTGCAGAATTCTATTGGGTAATCACATTTTCTTCAATCAGCAGAAATCTTTATACCAGTACAAAAGTAAAACAAACCAAAAAAAAAAAAAGCATCCAAAAATATAAAAATTGTTTTAGTGGGATAATAAAGCAATTAATTTTCAAGGTAATATCAGGAACTTTTTTAAATGTATGACCTCTATTATTAAAAAGACAAAAGATAACAAGCATTAGAGAGAATGTGGAGAAAAAGAAACCTCTGTATACTGTTGGTGGGAATGTAAATTAATACAGTCATTATGGGAAATGGTAAAAATAGAACTACCATATGATCTAGCAATCTCACTACCAGGTGCACATCCAAAGGAAATGAAATCAGTGTGTCAAAGAGACATCTGCACTCCCATGATTCTCACAGTTCTATTCAGAATAGATAATGTATGAAATCAACCTAAACATCCATCAACAGATGAATGGATAAAGAAACTGTGGTATATGTGTACACAATGGAATACTATTCATCCATAAAAGAAAGAAATATTTTCTTTGGTGACAACATGAATGAACCTGAAGAGAGTATGTTAAGTGAATAAAGCCAGGCTGAGTGACAAACAGTGCCACATCTGCAAATGTAATAAGTTGACTTTGTGAAGTAAAAAGTAGAATGGTAGTTATTAGGGGTTGGAGTGGTTGAAGAGGTAGGTTGGGAAGATGTTAGTCAAAGGATACAGCATTATAGTTACATACGGGGAATAAGTTCATGTTGTACAGGATGGTGACTATTCTTAATGATGATATCTTATATTCTTGAAAAATGCAGAGTGGATATTAAGTGGTTTCACCATAAAAGTGGTAACCATGTGAGGCGATGCCTTTGTTAATTAGCTAGATTTCACTGTCTTATGATGTTTATATATGCTTCAAAATATTTTTTACCATAAATATACACAATTTTATCTGCCAATCTTACACAGAAAAAAGGAAGCCTTTTCTAAGAGCAGGAGCTATTAAAATACTGCACTGCTTTTGTAAGACTTATCTGCAAGGGGATCCCTCTTCTGAGGGTTTTTCTGTTTGCAGAAAACAATGCTATCTCTGATGTTCCCAGGTACACAGATGGTAGCATAGATGACACTGAGAGAGGGCATGGTGACTCTACTCCATTCTGCATGGATGACATTTCTTCTCATCTCCTACTCTCCTGGCTCCTTCTCTCCCCTCATCTTAGATCATTCCCATTCTTTCTTTCTGCTCCCCGCCCCCGTCACCTCTTTTTATGCTCTCATGTCCAGCCTGTCCCCTAGCCCTATGCATGAAAGGCTGGATGAGCCCAGAGGCAGACGTGATGACAACTGTACCCTCTGTTTACTAAGATGCTCCAGAGGTTATGGAAGGCTAGGCAAAAGCTTTTTCTTTCTGGGAAAAGGCAGCTAGTATTCCTCCTGCTTCTTTGAATAGGCCCATTCCTCCTCTGGGTAGACCATTATAAAGAATGTGACCCTGATCTGTAATCTCAGGAGAAAACATGTCTCATTTATTAGAAACTCCATTTAATTTCATAGCTTACCAGAGTCACTTCGGTAAAATGAGGGCTTTGTGTGTGTGTGTGTGTGGGGGGGGGTGGTGGTTAAGTTCTAAATTTAAATTCGAAAGAAGCATTTTCTTTTAGAAGTCACCTTGACATTCCAGGTGCTTTCTTTGTACTCATGGTTCTGTTTTCTCACCTGTGACATGGGACCCTCTGACTGAATTTATTATCCCTTAGATTACTAGCACTCCCAGGACTCCAGGACTGCATGCAGATGGTGTTTAGGAAGAAGAGCTATACAAGCAACATAAAGTTTGGAAGTGACAAAAACAAGATTCAAACTCCAACTATTCATTTCATCCTCACAAAGTTCCACAAGCATCATTCCCATTTTATAGATAAAGAAATTGAGCTTAAAGCCGTTTAGTAAAATTTTGGACCTCCCAAAACAAACAAATGATAGTCAGAACTATGGTCCAAGTCTCTGCTCTACATTTAAACATGTTTAAATATCACTATTTCAAAATTTCCACGTAGAATGACCCAACTTGATTAGTCAGCTTATACATGCCACTACTTTTAAAAATATATTTTATCCTTGAAGAAAAAATCAAGATTTTCCCTGCTGATCCAGATGCTAACTCTAAAGAAGGTCCAGAATAGAATGCTTTTCCACATTTTGATCACTGAAATAATATATTGGCTTCTAAGGTGCATATATTAGACATAGAAGTACTGGCCATGGGAATATGGGCATGGTTGTGCTTTTAATTTAATCTCATTCCATACATAGGCTTCATCTGTTTCTTTCCTGGCCTGGTCCTCACTATTGTTTGCCAATGCAGGATGATTTAAGGCTGAAACTACTCAGGACTGCAAACCCTGAAATGTTAGTCCTGTGAATTATAATAAGCAGATGTTTTCCACAAATGAGATGAGAAGCCAGAGCTTACATTCTCTTTTAGTTCTAACAGACTTCTGTTTTCTTTCCAGAGGCCAAATAAATAAATATTCAGAAATCGGGACAAAAGGCACTACTCCTGAGCAAATGTTTTAATATACAGCAGGAGTTACTTTGCCTTTTCTGAGACATCAATATGAAGAGACTATGAGGTTTTATAAAATCTGCATGGTGAGTGCAGTAGCTTGAAAAGAGCTTAGAAAGGAATTAACACTTAAATTATGTTGGACCTCAAAGGATCTGAGATTCAGTCTTTGAGTGGAGGGAGGAAATAGGGAGGGATTAGATTTAAAAAAAAAAAAAGAAATCATTACTTTTTAACAATATATGAACAGATGGAAATTGTTTTCTCAAATGGCACAAAAGCACATTACATACTAACTCATTACATTCAATGCACAAACTTTAAAAATGAAAGACATGTACACAGGAAGACAAAGGCGAAGGCAACACAAGTTTCAAGAGTCAGTCCTGGGCTTGTTTGAAAAATTGCCCATGAACCTCAGAGATGATGAGCTACGCATAAGCCATTCGATGAAAAGACCCAAAGTATGTAGCAGGACTTTCCTTTAGAGATTGTTCCTACCCAAGGGAGGGCTTTCCACTTTAGACTGTAGCCCTATCTGGCTCCTCCCTGTACTGCTGGCTCCAAGCACAGAGCGGGGAGGCCACAGCTCAGCAACATTTCTTTTTGGCTGTTTATTCTCAATTGGTGAAGACAAAAACTATAACAAAAGTCTGGTTTACTGATTCATAGTCCAGTGTTTTACAAACAAGATGAACATTTTTCCAAGTGTGGTTGGAGAGGTTTGTATTTGGGATTATAGAGGGACAGCAGCTGAATTAATTATTAGCTCATTCATTCATTCAGAATTTCTTGGTCATTTGCTATTGGCAGGATCTGGAGTTGTCAGGGTAACAGTAATCAACTCGCCCCTGGGAAATCACAGAGTTCAAGAAGAGAATAAAGGACAGGCCTCAGACCCAACAAAATGGTGGGGTATCAGAGATGAGACTCAATGTGTGGTCCAGGAAGGGAACTGCTGGTGGAGAGTCCCCTAGGCTGGGGATCCCAAATACTTTCCATGGCTCTGTAATGGTGTGTGCGTGACAGGGTGACCATGACATGCTGAGAGGCTGTATGGGTCTTGCAGACCAGAAAGGACCTTGCCCTTCAACCTGGTGAGTTTCTACTTTCTTCTCACTGGCAGCCCCTGAAGGTCAGAAGTGCAGTGGGTCAGCCAGACCCTGCACGGCTAGCAGGGCTGGGCAGCCCTCATCCTTCTTTTCTCTGTCTGCTGTGCTCTAGCAGTGGCTTGATCTTTTCTGCTGTTTCTGGTGGACATTCCTAGTGAAGAGTTTCCCATTTGAGGTGAGAACTGGATTCCAATGAAAAGAAAGGCGTAGGGCCTCTTGCCAGTCAGGGCTGGACGTAATTAGGTTAGGTGTGAGCTGGGAAACCAGGCGGAGGCTGGGGATGAGGGGACAGAAACAAGATGTCAGTGCCAGGAAAAACTCTGGCCCAGAGGCAGAACAGAGTGTTCTAAGAGAATAAGAGAAAAGAGATTAATCAGAGTAAATGGGAGCAATGCAGGCCTCATCCTGGACCGAGGGTACCCAAGAGAGTGGCTGAGCACATGGATGTTAGAACAGGTAAAACACTGTCTGGGCAGGGCTGCTTCACAGGGTACTCTGTGCAAGTCACAGGCCTGCAACATCCTGGGCCAGGGTTCTACCTCAGCATCAGCACCACTGGGTCTTAGGTCAAGAAATTCTATGCCATCTGGCAGGTTACCTATGCTGGGTCTCAAGCAGAAGTAAGACAGTATCTGGACACCAGAACTGAAGCACAGGATTTGGGCAGGCACCTCAGTTATCACACATGGGGCCCAGGTGAGAGGATGAAGCCTGCATGGGTGCTGAGT